AATTTTACCTAACAAAAAATCTATTTAAATTCCCACGATTCGAATTTTTTTCTTATGAAGATGAGTTTTTTAACTCTCTCAAATAAATTAATTGCAATTATATTTGAATCTCTTGATTTACTTGAGGATCAAATAAATCTCGGTCTCACAAATCGTAGGCATCGTGAGTTCTTCATGAAAATTAAGACCCCCAAGATTATTTTTTTTCATTACTATACAGCCACACAAACTACGGAAATCTTTGAAATTATAAAATTTGATCGCGATGTTGGTACAGCTAAACGAAAAAAAGACATAGTTACATTTCACAAAAGGCATTCAAGATGTCACTATTGTAAATCAAGCAATAAACAATGTAACAAGATTCACAGACCACGTAAAAGAATGATTAAGTATATCACCAAATCTCAATTCCAAAAAGGAGGTTCTCCATATTGCACAAGTCCAAGTTCAAAAGCTCATATATATTGTGTCACCAAACGTCAATTTGATAATATGTTCAAATCACGCTGTGATAGGTGTAGAACATTGCAACAATGTAAAAATTGTTGCGTTCTAAATAATTGCTGTGGGATATTGACATGTCGACATGGTGCAATTAGCAATCATAGCGCATTTACATTTAGGGGATATAAACATATTCATTCTCACAATCTCTGTAAGGATTGTTTCAACATTATACCAAATAGTACATCCGTCAATCTTACAATTAGTACTGTAATCTATTTCACACGTACACATAAAAATATGATTATAATATCTAATAAAATTAATTATCTCAAAAATTTTACATATTATATTTGATGAAGATCACGTGTGGACATTCATGCCACACGTGTTTGTAATTTCATGTTTCACACATTTGCTTTGATGCTTATCACCATCCTCTTTTACTCGTTCTTGAATCATTTTTTTAGTTGGTGCTGGAATTAGATATCGACGAATATCATAATTTGTTATTTGATTATCAATCGTCATAATATAATTTTTTAAATATTTTTCCGTATTTTTTTGCGCCATTTCATCTCTTGTTTTATAGTCACCATCATCTATCTGAAATTGTTCATAATAATTGATAAAGTGTGCAAATGTTCCCACAAGAGTATCGATATAATATTTCATATCAATTTTCATCCTTTCATTATCAAAATATTTTACAAGAATCATTTTCTGATGAATTTTTGCTTTTTGATCGGGATGTCGAATAACATAATAATTGAATCATTCACCTGGCTCAATTTTTATTCCTCTTTTTTCCATGCGGTTCACGAATTCTTTTACTGATATATTCTGTTTTATAGGTCGATATGTTGTGGATAATGCAAATATGCTCACGTCATCGTGACTATTCTTCATATACCATTCAATCATTAATCTCATAATCTCGAGGACATCTTTTTCATTATCAATATCCATAATTTTCATCATTACTTTTTCACATATATCCTTGTAATATTTGGATTTCCCTTTCTTCACAATATCAATTCCTCGAATAAACAATTTTTTTGGTCGAAAATTGATCATATTAATATGTTCAATACCAAAATATTTTTTTTTACCAGTAAACATCACAGGAAAGAAAACCTCTTCATATGCCATATTAAGAAACTGGGTTCCGTTATTATGATACAAGTATTCATTAACCTTTTCACGAAGATTATTCATCACGTTCATCGTAGTCTCAACCATCTCTGTTTAATATTCCTCTTTTCCATATTCTTTTGATTGATATCTTATATTCTGTTCTTCGTAATATGTATCAGGACAAGTAAGATATAATGAATCTGTATCTCCATACTGAACCTTAAATCCTAATCCTTGTACGTAATTTGAAATCATCTTGATATTATATTGCCCAAATGATGTTACAGCACTAGCTAATTCGCGCATAAAGAATGGTGATAATGGATTATCAGCTTCTCCATAAAAACTATTCATATAGATCTTAAATGCTAATTGTTCAAGATTCGCCTGATCGTATTGAAATTTGAGATTCTTATATTCTTCATCACATTCATTATTCAATATTTTTTTCTCCAAAATTATACCAAACTTTTCCATCTTTAACTTTATCTCACAGCGTTTATTTTTCAAGTATTTTTGAACAATCACGTATAATCCTATATGCTCTTCTTCATTCTCATGCCTTACAGACCATGCCTCGATACCTCTTCCATTAAATGTGAAATGAATCTTATGAAATTT